AAGTAGCCGAATCTTAAGCTCCAACTGAAGCAAGAAAGTTTCTTGCCAAAAGCAATCCAAGGCTCTCTATATTCAAAAGGACAGGAGACGAATTGGATGCGGCCTATTCAAAAGGAGCAATCCTGCACTACCAATGTCTGAGGATAGTGATCATGCAGTTTAAGGCCAGGCATTTTCCTGCACTACCAATGCTATGTGTGTGTGAACGCCTACATTGATACTTTCAAATTGTGATCTTCCCATGTTCAATTTGTTATTGGCATGCATCTGAGGTGAAACTTCCGTAGTGGAGTCGAAAACACAAGTTGCCATCACATATTATTGTAATATGCGGCTCATATGGAGTGGAACACATGTATACTGGTAGATCGATGTCAGAGTGGAGCTCACTGAACAGAATATAGTGCAACTGTATAAGGGTGTTTTTGGGTTTTTCCTGAAATCTTGTATATATATTATGTAATCATATTATTTACGTGTAATAAAATCATAGCCGCTTCGCTCTAGTGGATATAGACCTAATGCCAGACCACGTAAATATTGTGTTGTCCTTCTTTCTTGATTCCGTATTGTTCATCACTATTGTTGCAACAACCAAAAAAAAAACACAAATTCATGGCCTTTTTTTTTCTTCAAGAGAATTATTATCAAATTTAGTAATAGACTCCATAGGATTTTTCAACAATGAGAAAAATTAACAATAAATCTAGTGATTGATTTGTCGATGTGCTGTTTCTATCTAGCACAAATGCTAGGGATTCTATATGTAGCGAAATCACTCGTGTATTGTGTATCAGTTTCCTCGTTAATGCCATTAAGATACATTTGGTATGTAGTAATGGATATGACTGGAAATTACAATATTCGACGCGTTTTTTTTAACCCTTTTTCTCTTCTTCTATATTATTCTAGTGCTATCCGGCGAATTCATTCTACCAGATATGTTGTTACTATTGTTTCTAAGGTATTGGATTCTCCTTTTAACAATCTGATGATACTTTTTCTTGTAATAGGAACAGGTTTGAACAAAAATCAAAATTGAAGCAGGAACAGAATGATTATTCTGAGTCCACTGACTTTAAGATATGTCGATAAGAAGAATTTGTTTCCTTTACGGTGTTTAAATCGAACAAATTTCGTCTCTTACGCAAGCAACACATCAATATGTAAGAATTTCAACGAACACATCTATACTCGAAAGACAGAAGCAAAATTTAGAGAGGAGAAATTCAAAGCAGAGAGTATTGGATTCTCCTTTTAACAACGACATTTACACCCTCAAACCCATAGAAGGGTATAAAATATTGATTCTCATCAACAGTGTCAAGTTCTATATGGAACTCTGCATTTTTAATTACCAATTAAGACACAGATATGAGAAGGATCATGGAAGACACCCCTGACTGATGTGCTTTCTTTTGCCACAATTTGTGGTCATGCCTTTAATCTTAATATATAATCATTTGACACCAAACCAATTGTACAGTACCATGCTTGAGCATTGTTGTCTAGAATTCTCCTAGAAAATTATCATATCAGCATCTGTGTTTCAACCTGACACTGAGATTATTGCCCTTTCATATATGTGTCTGTGTATATATTCCCTGGACAACTATAAATTCAAACTAGTCATTAAATTGTGATCAGTGGTTGATGATATGACCCCATATGGGGCCAGAAGCTACTATAATGTGGCTGTGGTTTGTTCTTCTGATGCCCACAAATCTTCGACTGGGAATCAATTCAAGAAACAGTTGAAACATATGTAACTATGCAACTACCAACTGGTTTGATCCCACTGAGAGTGAGTGTGAGTGTGAGATTTGACCCTACCTCACTTCAAAGGACACTACTTCTTTTGGTGATTTTTGTAATGATTATGGTGTTAGCATCGAGAACGACATGACCAGACCTCCATTATTTAGTTAGAAGAAAGAATCGTGCTATAGCGACATAATTCTTGACACAATAATGGTAGACATGATGTCACATGACACTTCATCATCCGATTGTTTTGAACACAGTCAACATTTTCTATCCAATCATATCTTGTCAACTAACATAATGTCATACCATCTATCAACCACTTTCTGACAAAGTGGCATAACCCTAGAAGAAACATTACCATTTGGGAAGATACGAAAAAAAAGTCTACCAAAGGAAACTTATACGTAACCCCTTTCCGCATGTAAAAAGACTGAAATATATACGATTCATGTTATGTGATTGGGACACTCCGTTGAATGTAGAAAGGATATTGCAGTCACTTCAGCTTAGTGCTTTCTTACGATTGAAAGAATGCCTGCTTGGTACACCCATTTCTGATTACTTATATGTAGACCAAGAATCCGAAGAGAAACTCTTTCTAATTTCCACTAGAACTGGGCCAATATTTATTGACTTTTAAGCTCACAGATTTTAAAATTGGCATGAAATTTGCCTGCTTTCAAGTGCTTGAGTTGAGAACCAAAGTTGGAAAAGATGCAAAGTGAAAAACTAAAAAACCTTGAACTGAATCGGAAAAAAGAGGGATTCTAGTTGTAAGACATCTAATGAAACTGTAGCTCGAATTGAGATCTTATTCAAAGAGAAAGATATCAAATATCTGGAGTTCCTTTTTGTAAATTATATGGATGATTATTCACCTCAATTTACCATAAAACTATCAACAAAGTATATCTACTATAACATTATATTTAATTCCTTAAATGCTCTAATTTTGAGTACCAAACACAACCTAATGACGGCTCAAAAAAATTCACCTTTTATGTTTTGAACCCAACTTTCAACGAAATTTTTGAGCCAAAAATTTTAAAATTCTATTGAGATGCATTAAATATTGTATTTTTTCACAGCAATATAATCCTCCTACATCTATATATAAACGCTAGTTTATCAAGAATACATAAGAAAAGCAATTCGAATTGTTGATTATTCGTCAGAGATGGCTTACGAATTGGGCAATTTGTTTATTTTATCCATACATTTATATTAGAAGCTATTAGCAAATTAATAATAATCATAAAATTTGATCTCACTATGATAACGGTTTCAAATCATTTCACAATTAAAATCCTTTTCTTACTTTATTATAGATATATTTCTATATATAAAAAGTGCCTATTTAACGGAATTTGTTGGTTTAAAAGAAAAACTAACGGAATTTGTTATTTTAACGGATTATGTAACGGAATTTCTTGTTTTAAACAGGCAGCTGCACCTTCTTTCAGTGTTTTTATCATAACTTTGTATTCCGATGTTCGATTGAGGCGATTCAAAATGCGTTGGAAAGCTAACCCATCTGGCTACAACTTTGATTCAGACATCATTCTCCAATTCGATCACTTTCTATGCCAAAAATATGTCTCAATATAACGGACTATGTAACAGAATTTTTTGTTTTAAACAGGCAGCTGCACCTTCTTTCAGTGTTTTTATCATAACTTTGTATTCCGATATCCGATTGAGGCGATTCAAAATGCGTTGGAAAGCTAACTCATCTGGCTACAACTTTGATTCAGACATCATTCTCCAATTCGATCACTTTCTATGCCAAAAATATGTCTCAATATAACGGACTATGTAACAGAATTTTTTGTTTTAAACAGGCAGCTGCACCTTCTTTCAGTGTTTTTATCATAACTTTGTATTCCGATATCCGATTGAGGCGATTCAAAATGCGTTGGAAAGCTAACTCATCTGGCTACAACTTTGATTCAGACATCATTCTCTAATTCGATCACTTTCTATGCCAAAAATAGGTCTCAATATAACGGACTATGTAACGAAATTTCTTGTTTTAAACAGGCAGCTGCACCTTCTTTCAATTTTTTTATTATAACTTTGTATTCTGATATCCGATTGAGGAGATTCAAAATGAGTTGGAAAGCTAACTCATCTGGCTACAACTTTGATTCAGACATCATTCTCCAATTCGATCACTTTCTATGCCAAAAATAGGTCTCAATATGAGACTAAAACATCGGAGCATAACTTTTCGGTTGGAAATTGATTTGTGATCATCTTTTGACTAAATTTGATCCCCTTGACATCTTCCTTTATCCAATTGACTCCGAGCACTCTCAAATCTTCATCGTGAGATTCGGCACAACTTTTAAGTATTTACATTTTAGCCCCCGAACTTTGGATCCCTTACAATTTAGCCATTTCTCCAAATTTGTCTACTTTTGCTTATTTTCTTCAATCTCACCAACCTACATCACAATATCAAAATCACACATCTAATTATTTATCAATTACATAAACATTACATCATTAATTATTTATAGGGTGTCTGTTTCTGCTTTTCAGCAGAAATCAAGCCGTTGGCAACACAATTCATGCCGTTGGGAGCCGCAATTTTGGACCAATTCTCTCACTGTAGGGCTGTAGGTTTGAAAAAAAAACGGTAACATAATCAATTTTCCTTCCTCCTTGCAGCGCGCCCAGACACGCCCTTAATTAACCAAAAAAAATTACATCTTTATTAATAACAAATTAATTATTAAACAAAAATATTAAATATAAACTAAACAAACGTGCATTGCACGTTGCTTGCACCTAGTATTTTAAATATATGCATAATTAGTTAACTAGAGACAATTATTATTCATTTCTTCTTGATTTAATTATTTTAATTTCTGTTCAACAGACCACAAGTTGATGATAATGGAACCTTACTATTTGGATAATTTCTTAAAAAATATTTTGCTTTACTAAGGTTGCATCCTCGTAAAGCTGTTCTACAATAAACAGAAACAAAAAAAGCAAAAATCGTGCCAAATGGGTCTTAATCAAACCACAATAACAAAGTACAATTCGAATCATAGACTAGCACAACATGAATCTATTAATTGTTCTCATTGATAATTCAATGCAAGAACTCAATTAATTCGTATACAAGAAAAAAATAAAATGAGAAGGCTGCAAATCTTGGAAGATCCCCACACCATCAATTTTCTAGTACTGTTGAATTGGAATTGAAGTAGGTCTCTGTTTTATCAGCTGGATACGTAAGGAAAAGACATAAGACTAGACATAGCTGCTTCTAACCAATCATCCTCATCATCGTATTTCATCTGCACAAACATATATAATTCAGAAACTACTATGCAATAAAGTTTGATGTAAATACTGTTGGAAAATTCTACCATATATGGGGCAATACGTAATATATTAAAATGTGTAGTGTTATTATTTAAAAGATATTAGTCAATTAAAGTGATCAGTTAAAGCTACATTTTGACTAATGGGTGTTAGGTTTCATGAAAATCTAGTGTAGAGACCGGAATGTTGTTTTAAATTGACGAGGGACCAATTTGAAACAATTGAAAGATTATGACTGTTCAGTTATTATTATTTTATATGATTATGGTCCTCATTTGATTGTGTTCTTTAGATTCTCTGCATCCCCATCAATAGAAAGTGTAAATCAAGAAAAGATCACCAATCAATTGGAAGATCATAACCCATTCAAGCCAACAATCAAACAACATGGATCAAGGTATGTATGTGCTTTCGTTATTTTCTCTAGTTTCAACATGCAGTATTATTTAGGGTTTATATGAGAAAAGCATTTGTATCTGTAATCCCTATTATGTTTTTGAGAAAAGCATTTGAATCTATAATCAATTTTCTATTATTTTCTATCAAATACTTGAATACGTAGACAAGAAATGTACCGGGATGGAGTCATCGTAACATGCAATATTTTCTTCACAAGAATTATCGTTTGTCTTCTTCTCGTTTTCATATTCACTGGGTTCACTGTTTTTCGCAAACCTTCCTCGTACTCGGACACGCTTGTCGGCTAGGGTTTTCCGACAGGCATACTACAAAACCATAGCAGTGAAGCTTAATATAGAGTGAATTAATAGACGATTATATATAATTAAGTATTTATTTTTATTTTTGTATTTAGAGAGAGACCTTGATAGTTTTGTTGAAATTCCTTTGGTTTCTTTTCTTCAAGTATCTGAGAATTCTGTCTTTCCTTTCTTCAATTGAATATCGCTCAACTTTCATTGCGGTTTCTTCAACATTTACTGCTGGCTTCCCTTGCATTCCCTGTAAAATAAAAAAAAATATTCACAATTAATTTGGGAAATTTGTTGCCTTGTAGATTATAAGTTGCATGTCTAATTATTCATGCAAATATTGTATTAATCCACAATATTAAGCCCCCTGTTTGGTGTGGCTTAAAATTTCGTTAAAAATCAAAGTTAAAGGGAACAATTAATTTTAACCACATAATTCACGGGACCCACAATTTTTCATTCCACATATTTCATCAACTTTTATCGTAAATCTACTAAAAATCTAATTTTTTTATGACTTGGGTGTCCAACATTCACCCAACTAATCCTGAAGAGTGGCGGCCTTCCCTTTTAGTTCGCCACTCGGGTTAATTTGGATGCGATCACAGCTTATACGCACTTGGACCGAACATTCGGCGGTTCTCCTTCCCGTGGACCTCTGTCTTCCAACATAAATGTTACCTTCCAACATTTAAATGTTCTCTTCTAGCTGCCGCGGGGATTCGAACTTTCGATACTCCGTAGGGAACCCTCCTGTTTTACCACTACGCCATGCCCGAGGGGCAAAAAAAAAAAAAAAATCTAATTTTTATCTACATCACAGGGTTAAGAAAGTCGTTAAAAAACCCTAAAATCTTCTATTTATTTTGCCAAAGAACTGCATACCAAGTGTGAGTACTCAAGAACTTAGCAAGCACACACGGATGTGATTATGTGAACAAATATATATAAAAATGGTCTAATATTTGTGTATATGTAATGAATTTTTGAAGCAAAAGGAGTTCAATATAATACCCAATTTTCACCAACCCCGGGATAGGCTTGACACAAATTTGGCATCATCACACTGCATCCAGATTGCTCACATAGCTCAAGTTGAAAAGGAGCTTCAAAACCTCCACCAGCTACACCAAAATCACAGAAATCTCTATAGTCCTTTGGCAATGCCTGCGTAGCCATGTCCGAAACCCAAAGTTGCTCGGTCGAGGAAATCGGCGAATTGATATCAGAACTCATCGGTGTCAACATGTTGATTTTTTCATTGTTATTGAAGAAGGGCAAGTTTTCTTCATTCCACATTGACATGCCACTTCCATTTGTGCATGCTGCCGGTGCAGTCGGGAAGTTGTACGATTTGCCGGAGAAGAAATAACTAGAGTAGTATTGATCTGGGATTGAATAATCCATAGAAGCTGCAAAGGTATTGTATGGTCAATTTTTTGGTTGGTTTGTGAATAAACACTTTTATGGCGTATGTAAACCATTTATACATGCATCTAAAGCTTTAAGCAAGTTGCACTTCCTTTTGACGTCCCCTTTATTGTACTGTGGTTTCAAGATTTTTCAATTTTGTTTGAAAAAAGTCATATGTACAGGGGAGTTTCACAGGGAGAGGGTGGCATTCTTGAATTGGATGATGGAAAAAAATAGATTAAAACAGACCAATGAAGTGTTGACACAAGACATCTGGCAAGAAAAGCTTGTGAAACTCTCTGTACTAGCAGTAGAGCACACAATGGTGTTTCTCACTCACCCTTGATGTGAAGGAATCCACTTCTTGAAAAAAAAAAAATCGATTTTTCAGTTTAAAATTATTTTTTCATGTAATATTTCACATAATTCACTAATTCATGTTTGGTTTGCCTAAAAATCAATTTTTTTAGTAAATTTTGATAAAAGTTAATGAAATGTACGATTAAAATTCGACAAAAGTTATGGACCACTTAAAATCTATGGTTCAAAATGAATTTTAGAAAAAATACATTATAGAAAATTGGGGTCAAAACCTTTGATATCACACAAATTACTATTCTTTCAACTTTTGAAACTTCAGCAAACAATTTATTTTCGCATTAATTAGTTGGAATTGGAGTGCCTTCACTACATATAATGATGTGCTAAGTAATTTTTACTTGGAAGAGCTTAAATTATAAATAGAAATGAATAGTCGAACTACAAAACGTGTGAATATAAAGTAGTTTGATCGAAAGTGTTTATAATATAAACCAGTATAAAAGTTAAAACAATAAAGTTGTCTCATTCTTGACAACTCAAGATTTTACGAACAAATTTAGTATGGAGTCAAAGTTAGCAAAAGTCACGTATTCAAGTGAAGTCATCGTATATGAATAAAAGTTATGCATGTATAGTACTTTTAATAAAAATAATAAATTATATGTGTACGTAAAGAGGTATGTTGAAAAATAAAATTTAATCCACTCGTTAACCCCTTGAGCATCTACAACCCACAAAATAATAAAAGTATTCAATGAAAAGTATACAATTAAAAATCTAATAACAAGAAACGTAAAATATTAGAAAACACACGATACCGTTTTCAAAACCTTAAAACGAACTAAGAGCATGTTTGTTGTAGATTTTTTTAGAAATAAATTTTCTGAAAAGTGATTTTTTTTTTTTGGCTAGAATATGTGATTAAGAAATAAACAAAAAATTGAATTCGTATGTAAAATTATTTTATTGAAAAAATGTATAATTGAAAATGAATTTAAGAAAAAATGAGTTTTAAAGAATCTCGACTATATATGGTTTCATCGACCATACTTGTGTTAGCGGAGTCGTAATTAATCTTTTGAAGAATATTTGTGTCAATCTCAAAGGTCATTCGACTAACGTTAGGACCCCACCTTAACATGTGACCATTGAATCAATAAAAATTCCACTCTACTGTGCAAGAAGATTATCAAATAGGACCTTCCCCTAATCTCTAAATCATTGAACATCATCATGCATGGGACAACCATTGGCCACTTCTGTGTTAAACTGTGAATTATTATGCTTTAAAAAGTTGATTAAGGTATCTCTTATACTATATTAAATTAGTTTGAAAAAAAATCATTTTATAATGAGATAAAAGATGGAAATTAATTTGCAAAAGTAATTTTAAGATCATGCTGTTTTCAAAAAAAAAAAAAAATTAGCACTTTTATTCAACTTCTATAGATTTGAAGTAAATAAAAATGTTATGACGTTAAAATTTAATAATTATATATACAGAATTTCGGTTCGAACCGTATGTCGGGCACTCTTCATCCTTTTATATAGGCTGATAGACTTAAGTGTGTTGTCCTGGTCTTATCAAGCCACAGTGTTCTGATCTAGAGCTACATATCATAGTTCGTTTGAAGAAATTTCATTGGTTGTTGAGTTCGATTGCGACATGATCATGATGACACTTTAGAATTAGGTCTATGCGGTAAGCCATCATATCATCTTCTCGTTCAATTGGTTTGAGTGGTACTACCATCAAGGGAAGCACTTTTTCTATCATGTCATAACGATGGTTTAATATGATGTCTTCCATAGTCCAATTCCGACCTAAATTCATGAGATATTGGGTCAAGGTGCCAAGCTGATTTATCTAAACTCTTCAACAGATACTCTTTTAACCAAGTCAAGAAGAACCCAACTTATTCGATGTGAATTTTAGACGTCACGCCATTATCCAGGGAAGAGAGGCCCTCATGTACTTACTATTCTTCTACCGTTTAAAGCTGTATATGCTAAAGGTCCAGTAGATATGCCCTATTCAATAGGCTAAGAATCTGATATATTGGGCTACCACGATTTTGTGGTACAGTGTATATCTGTAAATAAAAAATAAAAAAAATAAGTTGTTAACAAAAATAAGTAAATTTACGCCTCTTAGAATTTTCTCTATTGGATTAGATGGAGTAATTCAACATATTGGAGACAAGTTGAGTTGGGGCTTTTATCTGCTTTTGACTGCATGTCAGAGAACAAATAGATCCTTGAAACACAAGTTTATGCCTGGAAATTTTCCGCATGCGGAAGAATAAGAATACTTAGAACTTGTTTGGTAACACTAAAAATCCAATTAAAATTGAAAATATAGTCGTTATTGGATCCCACTCGTCTAATAAAAGTCAACAATAACGACTAATTTTTCAATTTTAATCCGATTTTAATCTCTACCGAACATGCCCTTATTTTTGTAAGATATAGTTTTTTCTTCAGAACACCAAATTNACACTCTTAAATGAGAATCCCAGCTGCTTATCTAATCAAAGAATACTAACATTCAATCTTAGGACTTTTGACAAAACTTTTACTTTATTTTATGCTTTTTTTATAGAAAAACTTCTTGAAAAAGTTACTCTAAAACAGCTTCCTCTAAAAACTCTTATGGATAGAGAAAGTAAGTTTAAAAAATCATTTGAATATGTTTAAAAACAACTTTAGACTTTTCAAAAATTATGTCCGACTACCCTTAGATTTGATCTTTTTTATGCAATTAGTAGTAAACGCACCATGAAGATTGGACACTAAGTGTGTGTTTGATAACCTAGAAAATTAGGTGGAAAAAGAAAATGTTTTCCAACTTCACTCAATTAATAGTGTTTGATTGCAAAAGTTTTCTTAGTTTTTGTTTTTTCTACCTTTTCTAGGTACAACCATTTTATGCACATTTTCTTGAATTTGTTTTCCCACCTATTAGGTGGGAAAGCAATTTCCATCTTTTTTTTTTTTTTTAGCAATAGCAACAAATTCTATCAACTATTGCAAAAAGAATTTTCACTTTTGTTAACAATTTCTATGCAAAACAAAGTCAAACGAATACGGTAATTTTTTCTAATTGTTTAAATTTTTTTTTTAACTTTTTGGTAATTGGAACAAATTCTAGACGCAATGGTAGAATAAATTATCACTTTAATGGACAATTTTCATAAAAAATAAAGTCAAATGGACACTAAACTTTCAACATTTTTCAGGTGAAAAATTATACCAATCAAACACAATTAATTACAATTCCCAGTAAAACTTTTTCTTTCCATCTTTACAATCAAACGGACCATAATATCATTAGCTTCAAGCATAATTTTCACATTTAAGTGCAATGAATGATTGGCACTCAACATTTATTTATTTTTTTAATAACCGTGGATGTTCGAGTCAACTTGCAGGCACCTCGACTAATCCCACAGAGCCCTGAAACTTACGGTCGAGTACTCACCTCAATAACCCTGAGGGAATTGACACTCGACATTTATACCTACAAAATTTTAATAATTTTTTCTTAATATCGTCCGATAATCTACCTCACCAAAACATTGGATAAGACTAGAAAAATTAAGAGAGACGTCTAACAAAATTAAAATATATAGGTTTTTTTTATCAAAATCAGCAATGCCTTTTGCAAAAAAAGCATTTTTCTTAACATAGATATTCAAGGAATATGATTCAATAAAGTGTTATGGGACAACCATTGGCCACTTCTGCGTTAAACTGTGAATTATTATGCTTTAAAAAGTTGATTAAGGTATCTCTTATACTATATTAAATTAGTTTGAAAAAAAATCATTTTATAATGAGATAAAAGATGGAAATTAATTAGCAAAAGTAATTTTAAGATCATGTTGTTTGCAAAAAAAATAAATTAGCACTTTTATTCAACTTATATAGATTTGAAGGAAATAAAAATGTTATGACGTTAAAATTTAATAATTGTATATACAGAATTTCGGTTCGAACCGTATCTTGGGCACTCTTCGTCCTTTTATATAGGCTGATAGACTTAAGTGTGTTGTCCTGGTCTTATCAAGCCACAGTGTTCTGATCTAGAGCTACATATCATAGTTCGTTTGAAGAAATTTCATTGGTTGATGAGTTCGATTGCGACATGATCATGATGACACTTTAGAATTAGGTCTATGCGGTGAGCCATCATATCATCTTCTCGTTCAATTGGTTTGAGTGGTACTACCATCAAGGGAAGCACTTTTTCTATCATGTCATAACGATTGTTTAATATGATGTCTTCCATGGTCCAATTCCGACCTAAATTCACGAGATATTGGGTCAAGGTGCCAAGCTGATTTATCTAAACTCTTCAACAAATACTCTTTTAACCAAGTCAAGAAGAACCCAACTTATTCGACGTGAATCTTAGACGTCACACCAATATCCAGGGAAGAGAGGCCCTCATGTACTTACAGCTTGTTTGAGAATGATTAAAATTCAATTAAAATTGAAAATAAAGCTGTTATTGGATCCCACATGTTTAATAAAAGTCAACTCCAACAGCTATATTTTCAATTTTAATCCGATTTTAATCCCTCCCAAACAAGCTATACTATTCTTCTACAGTTTAAAGCTATATATGCTAAAGGTCCAGTAGATATGCCCTATTCAATAGGCTAAGAATCTGATATATTGGGCAACCACGATTTTGTGGTAGTGTATATCTGTAAATATAAAATAAAAAAAATAAGTTGTTAACAAAAATAAGTAAATTTACGCCTCTTAGAATTTTCTCTATTGGATGAGATTGAGTAATTCAACATATTGGGAGACAAGTTGAGTTGGGTTTTTATCTGCTTTTGACTGCATGTCAGAGAACAAATAGATCCTTGAAACACAAGTTTATGCCTGGAAATTTTCCGCGTGCAGAAGAATACGAATACTTAGAGCTTATTTGGTAACACTAAAAATTCAATTAAAATTGAAAATATAATCGTTATTGGGTCTCACTCGTCTAATAAAAGTCAACAATAACGACTAATTTTTCAATTTTAATCCGATTTTAATATCTACTCTTAAATGAGAATCCGAGCTGTTTATCTAGGCCTTGTTTGAGAGCGCTTTTAATCAAATTAAAATTGAAAATATAGCCGTTATTGGGTCCCACTCGTCTAATAAAAGTCAACAATAACGGCTATATTTTCAATTTTAATCTGATTTTAATCCCTCCCATACAAGCTCCTAATCAAAGAATACTAACATTCAATCTTAGGACTTTTGACAAAACTTTTACTTTAATTTATGCTTTTATTATAGAAAAACTTTTTGAAAAAGTTACTTTAAAACAGCTTCCTCTAAAAACTCTTCTAGATAGAAAAAGTACGTTTAAAAAATTATTCGAATATGTTTAAAAACAACTTTAGACTTTCAAAAATCATGTCAGACGACCCTTAGATTTGATCTTTTTTATGCAATTAGTAGTAAACGCACCATGAAGATTGGACACTAATATCATTAGCTTCAAGCATAATTTTCACATTTAAGTGCAATGAATGATTGGCACTCAACATTTTTTTTTTTTTTAATAATCGTGGATGTCCAAGCCAGCTTGCAAGTATCTCGACTAATCTCACAGGACCCTGAAGTTTACGGCCGGATACTCACCTCAGTGACCTTAAGGGGAATTGACACTCGACATTTATACCTACAAAATTTTAATAATTTTTTCTTAATACCGTCCGATAATCTACCTCACCAAAACATTGGATAAGACTAGAAAAATTAAGAGAGACATCTAACAAAATTAAAATATATAGGTTTTTTTTATCAAAATCAGCAATGCCTTTTGCAAAAAAAGCATTTTTCTTAACATAGATATAGTTCCTTATACTAAGTTATTTCACACTGCAGCAACAGAAATCTTGAGAATTCTAGATGTGTGAATCAAAATCTTTGATAGCTTGTCGTACTGATTTTCATGCTGGAAAAAGTTGCCAAGAAATTCATCTTCAGCCAAAGCTAAACCCATGTTCAAATATGCTAAAAATCAGACTTTTAATAAATTTTGATAAAATGTGTAATTAAAAAATTGATAAAAATTACAAATTCCATAAAATAAATATGTGATTAAAATTAATTATTGACTTTGACTTAAATTTCAACAATTTATTAGCTGAAACAACTAGAGCCAAACGGGGAAAGCACGAGGTATTCTCAGATGTACCTAGAACGAATTATCTTTGTTTTCCTCAGCAAACAGGATCCTGTGCTCGTGCATATGTCAAACTTTTCGTCTACACATAATTCTATACGGTGCCATGGGGATGGCATTCCAATCCCATTAGTCAAAACAAAATCGAAAAGCTTTCTTTACTTCACATGCTAAAGGGAGAAAGACTGAATTCTATTCTAAATGAGAAACTTGGATGTCTGTCTATCTGTAGGAAAAGCAAAAACAAATATTTGAAATAGCGACAACCTTCTTTTTTGGATCATCAACATGTTTGACTAAACTTTAGCACACCAAACTTATTATTTAGGGCTCGTTTGACGAAATTTTTACTTGTACTTCTTGTAAAAAAACTTCCTAAAAAAGTTACTTTAATCCAAAAGTGCTTCTAGCCAAACAAAAGATTTTGAAAAAAATTATCCGAACACATTTAAAAGTAACTTAGTTTAAAAAAATCCTTCTAAATGAGCCTTCAGTGCCTTTCTGATTTTTATCTTAAGGATCCGTTTGTATTGTTAGCTTATCCTTTGAAATTATTTGAATTACCATATGTTGACAAGTCTTCCAAGAAGAAGCCACCCAAAATGCTTTGGAAATTGAAAATTAGCTCACATAGTTTGAGCTTCTAGAATATGACGTCATTGGAACTTTCTATTTGATTGTATCGAAAGCCACAATGGGTTTTCCCTATTGGTCCAGGTCATTTCAAAACCCCTTCTCCTATACTTGGATACTTCTCGCTCACCAAAGCATACTTGGTTTTCCAAGACGAGAGGCACCTTCTATTCCTTCTAGTTGGTAAGAAAGCAATTTTTCCTACTTGTCACTAAGAAGACATAATAGATGTGAAGAGGCATCATTTCTCATTAGTTACTGACTATTTTGTCAAATTCCTTACAGAGACTTGTTACTCTCTTAACGAACTAACCCAATACAAATCTCTCATTCTTCCTTGACCTTATGAGCGTAAATGTTGTGCAATGCTCCCTGGCATATCTACGCAACCAAAATCAAAACTAGAAGCGTTGCTCTTTTAAGCTTAGCCAAACATGACAAGAATCTCTCATCACCAATAGTCCATCTCATCATCATCATCACCAGATCACTTCCTTTCCTTACAAAGCGATTGCTTTAGGACCTTAACCAACTATCCCCCTTGGAAAATTTAACATGCAACCCCCAGCTTTTTTGGTGATTTACTCGGACAGAAAAGCTAAACGGAATGTCGCATGAACAAGACCTCAAAAAATGAAGAGGGCAACATAAAATGTCAGTTCACCATAACTACATACCATACCCGTCCCTCAATGAAGCGGTTCATTAAAATCAAAACCATAACCGGCCCATTGCACCATCGGTTCGATTTTTTTCGCCCCATTCGGTTCGGTTAACCGCGATTTTCGGTTTTCACAATTCGAATTGCCAGTGGCATATCTACGCAACCAAAGTCAAAACTAGAAGCATTGCTCTTTTAAGCTTAGCCAAACATGACAAGAATCTCTCATGACAAGCATTCCTTTCCTTACAAAGCGATTGCTTTAGGACCTTAACCAACTATCCCCCTTGGAAAATTTAGCATGCAACCCCCAACTTGTTTGGTGATTTACTCGGACAGAAAAGCTAAACAGAATGTCGCGTGAACAAGACCTCAGTTTTACTTCTCCCGTTGTATTTTACAACAATCATCAAACCAAATCGACCCTACCAAATTCCAGCAATGGAAAAACTCAAGTTCAGTTTAAGGTGTACCAAATTGGCATCTCGAATACCAAAACTACAGCAGGATGACCAGAAACAATACCTTAATTCATCCCCTCAAGTTTGTGTTCTTGTGCACGGGAAATATAAAACACAGAACACAGCAGGTAATTATCTGGTACAAAGAAAAAAACGAAAAACTCTCACGTAAAACAACTTGCAATATCATAATGGCTCACACTCACACATGTTTAAAAAATTTTAAACCGTGTTGCACATCCTGACGAGAATTCATAGCCGGTTTACAATCACTGAAATATCTTAAAGCAATGTTATTGGCGTATCGACTAGTACTATTAAGGTAATTGGTTCACAAGGTTCAAATAAATACGTGGTTCATATCTTCACAAATCAGAAGACATTTTCTACAACACAAGGGCATGTTGAAGAACAGAATCTACTTGATTGAGCACAATTTATTAAATCCACCATTGCCGCTGACTGTATTTGCTTATCCAACAATTAGAACATAAATGAAAACCAAGTACATAACTCATTGCATAAAGATCCCATGGCTGAAAATGGTGCATAAATTTTAAGACAGCAGATAAACACTCAAGTTAAGGAACCCAAGCAGAAAAGGGGTCCAAGGAGTGGTGGTGTAGTGGTACCATTTAACAGGGCTCGTCATGTAAAATTAGTCTGCAAGCCAATTGACCAATGCCATTAGCTATTGTAGCAGACAGACAGCTATATTAAAAAAGCCATTATCTTCGTCGCAACCTTCTTAGAAGTCAGAGGAAGGAATATTGTGTTCTAATTTGATGATTATATTGTCTCAACATCTAGTTTAAGTTCATTTCAACAAGTTTTCTACCATGAGAAAATCTATTAGTAGTTACCAGCTGAAGCTACCAGGTATTTGTTTAACCCGGCACTACTGGTAGTGGCGCTGCTTAAGGCCAAATATCTCCCAGAAAATTCTAAAAGCTGAAAAGAGAAAATGGGAGAGACACCAAACTTTGCAAGTTGGTCAGCAGTACAGCTAGTGTATATTGCGGTTAAGCAGCCCTTGAAATGATAAATAAAGATCTTTATTTTCCACCCCAAAAATCTCTTCTGCTTTTCTTAAAGTTTCCTGGGAATGTGAAAAACAAAGAGTAAGGCCATTATCATTTTTCTATAAACAAAGAATTATATGTAGAAGGCCAGTGATAAAAAAAAATCATTAGAGAATGTACTCAAGGAAATTGTCATCACCTCACGAGATTGCTTTTGTGCATTTAATTCCTTTACGTTAGCAAGAAATGCGCTGAACTGTTCTAGTGACAGACGACTCCTGCATTTAACAATAACCCAGAAACCATTAGAAGAAACGTTCTACATAGGCATTTTCTATAACCATGGTGAAAATTTAGAGTTAAACCCACCTGGCTTGACGGAAGAACTCCTTTCCATCAATTCGAGGAGGGCGAGCTAAGTTTTCAAAAACAGAATAGACATATTAGCAGAAAGTTGTGATGTCTACAAACATGTAACAGAAAGTCATTGTTTACACCATAAATAGTTATTACAAAATGGCCATCTTATAGACCAGAAAAAGTTGTAAAATAATTATTAGCAATCTAGATCGGCTGACAATGTATAATCCATTGAAGTACTATGGACCTGGCACTGGGAGTCCACGAGGAGGAGAGTTCGTTGCTGATGACTGCTGGCTTGATGGGTACCATGAAGAGAGAGAACCACGTCCATATTGAGTCCTAGGAGAGGTGGTTCTGGAAGTTTTCTGTGGAGATCCAGCAGCTGAGTACCTTCCTGGGGATGCACTAGTTGAAATTACTTTAGGAGTTCCAACTGGAGTTAGTCCTGGTGTTATATATGGCGTTATAGAGTATCTTTGCCCAGCTTGCTTAGAGGCTGCATAAGGAAAATCATTATAAAATAATATTATTGCTTATATCGAGACCATGGAAAACAGGTTTCCAGACTTATACTGCATAAAAACCATGTTCTAGTAGAAATACCATTAATAGTTATGCTTGCAGCATCAGTAGAACTACTATAAGAATGATATTTCGGATAGCCATTCGTATCTTCATCTGTAATAGTCATAAACTGATATTAAAAACCACTGCTGGAAGGCAACAGGAGACAAACAAATAAGTGACTTGCCAATAACAAGAAGAAGAATCTACGCCTTTTCCCATTAAATTTGGGGTCAGCTAATGAATCCCTTTTTGAAACTGCATTCATTTCATTGCTACGTCTACAGGAATCTAAAGCAATTTGATCTTTAGCAACTACTATTGTAAAACATTTTGCAAATTAGGGCTAGAAAAACACAATTATATATAGTACATGATCAGAACTGAGAATTACCATTTTTGGAGTAGGCCTTGGAGACAGTATGGTCATAAGTACCAATATCTACAGTTTCTGCTTGCTGGTGGAACAAAAATTTAAGTCATTTTGTTAGCTTCGGCTCAAAACAAAGAAATGGCAATAATCTTTGGCCCCAGAAAATTTGCAGAATCACTTAGAATTTGCAATCCAACAAAGTCCTGGAATCCTCATTCCGTACCCAAGACGAAGGAAATCCTATTCCAAGGGAAGTGATGTAAAAAGAAGACAACTATCTCTTTGTACCACCCACGACTACATCATTGTCTGCCACCACAGACCCCACTCATCGTCTACATATCCAAGTCCTTCTTCATCATGGCTTGTCTTCTGTCGTTCATTAATATCATTAATATCTATTTTATTTACATTCATTTTCAGTTTTATTTGGAATGATGAACTGAGTTTAACATCTTTGGTTGAGATTGGATTTAAGGGTTTTTGGCACTGATTCTCTAGTTGGAATATTTTGTCTGTCCAATTTTGAGTAAATATGGTCAAACTTTGGCACTTATTTCATAATTGGAAATTTAAGGCATCTACTTTGACGATAAATTCTTAATTCTTATATTCCTAATTGTTACATTCTAGTATTTCGTAATGGGGTTGCCTAGTTTTAAATATTTAGTGTCAGTATGGATGTCAGTCGTGGCTAAGTTGCAGCGGAAGACCATTCTTACAATTTCTCCAGAACTAAACTTTAAAATGGGAAAGGTCATTCCACCATGATGATACATGGTTGTATGGGATTCTAGGTAGAAAGGCCTTGCCATTCCAGGTGATTAGACTAACCAGATTGGGCCTTGCTATAGATGTAGCAAATGATTCCATAACAATAGATAACAAAGAAAAATAAAAGGAGCTGACAAGTGGCAATCATACAGGTGAATTCTCATCATTCAACGATTGCATCAGTTGCCTCTTGAATGTCTCCAGCTGTCAAAAGAGCAGAAGTTCAATTATCCACCAAATGTAGCCCAAAAGAAAATCCGAGGGCTAAAAACTGGAAACGGAGGAAGAGAAGCAGAGTAAAATAGCAGGATTCAAAAATTATCCTGCTGCTATATTTGGGGCAAAGATTGTAGCCTTGGAATTGGTGTTCACGAGAAACCAACTCAAATTTGGAACTGTATAAGTTTAAGCCCCAATTCACTAATAAATAACAAATCTAGAGAATACACCAAACGCTATTACAGAAATCCTAATTATAAATTTCCAGAAGAGTTCACCTATTCACATTCACATTCTGAAAAGAAGTGAAATAAATTCTAAAAAATCACAAAGCCATAACCGGTGTGGATTACAACATTTTTGGACATCACTATACTGTAATTCTATAAAAAGCTTTCTCGGTTTCTTTAAGTGAATTTAAGGTCAATCCAATGCCACAAGCATGAAATAAATGTTGTCAAGCAAATATTGAAAGAAAGAAAGAAATTTCAACATAACATACAGCAAGGACAGAAATTTAACTTCTTTTCTCCCGAAAATAATGTTTTTAAAAAATCCAGCATTGTGTTAAAGCAAATACTTCGCATTGCCCATAACTAAAATTGAAGATTACTTCAGCAGACAAAATGAGAGTACAAACACGGAATTATTACCTTAGCCAACTCACGACTCAGTTTCTTTGTGGTCAAAGCCAAGGAATCTCTCTCCTTTAATACCTTCATCTACAATTCAAGTTCCAGAAAACACGAGATAATAAATTACCCCAAAACCTCAAAAATTAAAAATCCCATTTGCTTGAGATTTGAAGTACATTATCTTCACGCGTGCTTTTCAACTGTAATTCAGCTTCCTCGAATGCTTGTTCGACCTGGGACACCTTGTCCTGGAGCTCCACAATAACCCGGTCCTTCTCATGGAGTTTCTGCCGTAGCCTCCCGGTCTCAGACTCTAACATCGTCACGCGCGACGCGATTGCCATGGACGTGATCTTACGAGCCAGATCCAGCTGGTCGTATGGATCATTTGGTATCACCGATAATATCTCGTAGGGCAAGTCGAATTCCGTGCCTACCCGGCTGCTGTCTTCGCTGCTTTGCGACATCTTAAAAAGAAACCCTAATTTTGAAAATTTGAATTTTGGGAACTTGAGGATTAGAGCTAAGGATTTACGATGTCGGAGAAAACGATGCAAGGATAATTGATAGAATCTTGAAACAGTTGTTTTCTAGGAATTATAGGAAACGTTAAAGGCATTTAGGTAGGAGACGTGTAATGCAAATGGATTATCTGGATTTGAATGTTTGGGTTTCCCTCCAGGAAAAATTGAAAAGTTTTCGTCCTCAATTCTTTTGAAAATATATTTTTTTTAAAAAAAGGACTCAAACACCCCCTCTATTTTAATCAGGTAAATGTGCTCAAATTTTATTCAACAAGGTAATTATATTTTTTATTTGATTTCAATCATATATGAATTGAATTGATGGAAGTCGTTGACGTAGCATCACCTGAAGATTGTACAAACTACTTTTCTAAGGTCCTTTCTTCACAATCGATGACCCTTTTAATTATTTTTAAAGTACATGAGTTACATTTAAACACGTAAAATTCATTTTTCGTAACTCTAATGATATTAAGGGATTACGCTATCATGCATTTTGATGGATGTATCCCAATTCAATCATGCTACACGTAATGATGGTTCACAATGTTTGTTGATAATCATAATTTGGTATCATCACATTCATCCATTTCAAAAAAAATTCAAAAACTGTTTTTTAAATCAATTGCCAAATTTTGTCACGTCAAACATTGTCGATAAATCTTGCCAACCATCATTGTACAATTATTTGGAAATTGTTATACTCCATTTACACTTTCGTTGGTCAGTTTCCCTATAATTGGACACTTGAGAAAGGTGCAACTTGAATCGAGAATCCACTCTTGATTCAATTTACTTTCAATTATAGTCATAACTTGCAAATATCAATTTTAGATCACAGCCTAATTTCCATTCTCCATGTTTCGCAGATGATCACTTAATCAAGGATAAGGTACAGGCATATAAAATTGAAATCCAAGTCGTCCATCCGTCAACCTGAATTGTTCAAGACAAAGACGCCGCACAAGATGCAGTTCTCTACGTAGATTCCCTCTGATGGCTGATTAACTAAAGCTTACTGGAAATAGTTATCAAATAGAGAACCAAAAGATCAGGTGTTGCTACTGACGGAAAAATGACTGAAATGCTCATTTCAAACACCATATTCCACGAGCATCAGTGATGCATCATATGTACAAACATATGTATCCTAGGATTCCGTTATCTGGTACGACTTTTGACTGGCATTAAACTTTTAGAAGAGACGGGGAATAAGCAACATTTTCTTGTATTTACTTTCTATCCAATGATTGAACAAAAATCAGAAACTCCAATGAAACTAACACAAGAAAAAGAGTGCGCTAAAAGTTACATAATTGACAAGAGAATCCATACAAGGTCTAATAATACTTCTGTAAACAGATAGCATACAATTCCACGTTCAACCTTCAAACAGACTGACTGTCTTTATCATACAGGAAGCGACACTAGCTATCAGAAACCAAATATGCACTCGGTTAATAATCCAAGATATCCTAGACTGATAGGTAAACCCAGGTGTATCTTTGGTACATGATATTGGACAGGACTTACACAATACTAAATAAGAAAAAGAAGTACAGAGCTTTTTCATGGTATTGTCCAGTCTCCTTCAGGAATTCTAACAAAAGATCCTGCGAACGAACCACATCAGAGTTAGGTTAAAAGAGAAAATTCTCCGCAGGTTGACTGGTTGAGTAGCATAGCCATTTGTCTCAACAAAATAGGTAGCATAAATATTCAAGTTGGATGTGCACAATGCCTGATTGCTCAGTTGCAATCTCAGAGTACACGCATGTTAGCAGGTATATGGATGTTCCAAATCTTCATGTTATGGATGAGAGGAGTCACGAAATGAAGATTTCCATAAATAATGCAGTCAGGATAATGTAAAAAAGCCTTTCTTCACCTGCAAGGACTTTTACCTCTGGATACAAGTTGACAAAGAGATAATCAGGACAAGATATGATTACACATCTGTGTGGCTATGCCATTTCATTTAACTGCCTTTATACCAACAGTTCTAACACGAAAACGGTATTGAGGCTGAGACTCCTCTTCTTCGGAGTCATCTTCTTCATCACTAGAGTCATCTTCAACTCTGTCCCAACGTGAGTAATCAAGATGAGAGTGTCCTTTCGGTTTTGGTATTGCCTGCCAGCCTGACTGTTGATCGGATGGTATTTGCAGGCTCTGAATTTTGGAGGTAACATCTTCCATTGTTGGAATGGCACTTTCACTTTCAGTTCTTTGTTTTCTTGCTGCTGCTGCATCCATCACATATTTTTCTTTACTTTCACCATCATCCAACTCTTTTCCACCTTGTTCTTCTTCCTCTTTTTCAACCAATTCAGATTCATCCTCCTCTTCTAGTTCCGCTTCATCTTCGGGTATAGGAGCAAGTGACTTTCCTTGAACAAAACACACCATTTTTTAAGACAGAGCACCAGCATTTTTACATAAATGACAGAGAAAATTGAATGTTGCAGAATCATATTTTGCACAATTATATTGCATGTGACTAACTTCAGTCAATTTCATGTGATCTACAAAGGAAACTATGTAGAAGGAATAAAATATTGTTGCTCTTTTGAAATATTTATACTACTGCAAGATACACAAGCATGTTAAATCCCTAACCAGCATTTAAATTCCCCTCTGATAATTGGACTCTTCGAAATAGTTGGAGTACCCGTGTCGAACATGACACGACATGGGCATGGGTATGGGATATGTGTCCGATCCTCCAATTTTCAACCGGACACTTCGTCATTTTTGCTTCTTCTTCCTTCTTTTTGTTCTTTCTTTTCCTTTTCTTTACCTTTTCTTCTTTCTCACTTTTGCTCTCTATAAATCTAGCGCCGTCGCCGAGAGGGTAGAGAAAGACGGCGACGCTAGGTTTTCCCTTTTTTTCTTCTTCTTTCTTTCCATTTTCTTCTTTTTTTTCCTTCTTTCTCTTTCTATATCGGTGGTTTAGGGTTTTGTTTGTATAAAATGAAAATAGGCTCCATATAGTGCTACTTAGTGCTCCACTAAGTCCAAATTATAATCAAGTTCCTTATTTTATATTTTATATAACATTTACTAATTCTCATTATTGAAAACTAAACCCCAAAATTCTATTTTATTCGTCTTAACCCCTTATTAAATACTCATTTCCTTCATTGTGAATAATTAATTTTGGTATATTCAAAATGATATACTGGATTAGTAAAAAAATTGAAATTTGAAAGACGTACCCACGTACCCGTGTCCGAAATTTGGACTCTTTTTAACTATATTCCCGTATCCTACATTTTAGAAAATAAAAAATTCGACACTTAGATACGTACCCATACCCGAGTCTGAGCATCACAGAAATTCCCCAGCACCCCCGAAAATAATGACTACAGAAGAATCACCACAAACAAAAAAGTTCTCGTATTTGCATTTTAGAGAGACAAAATGGAGTTAGCCTTCAGGAACATAAATGTTCTCCAAGAAACTTGATAATGCCGAAGTACAGAAACAAATATTTATTTAGATTGCAATTAATGGTCTTGGCAATGATCAGGGATATAGAAGATGTATTGAAGTTTCAGGGGCAGCCATGCTTTTAAAGCAGCGATTCCATAACAGGAAACAGTATGAATAAGCAGGATATCTGTTAAAGACAATGAACAGTTGAATAAATGCAAAACAGAATAAAGGGAAAAGGAGTAACTACCAATTGTGACTTCAGACGGGCTTGAAGATTTTTATACACTTCTGATGATGGGTTCAATTCAATGAGCCTGTTGACATCAAAAAGTGCTGAATGGTACTCCTTCAGGGTGACAAGGGTTTGGGCACGCAACATCAATGCTCCTGTGTGCTTGTGGTCAAGCTCAAGCACTGAGGTACATTCTTCTGATGCCTGAAACAATAGACAGAATAACAGGCTAAAATTATCGTATATCCCATAAAAAGACAGTCAAGGTTCCCCTTTTCTCTTTTTCCGCCTGATTGTAAGACCCACGTGCAACTAATGAATGGAATTTAGACGCATAAACATAAAAAATTGCAAGTAGCAAATGGACAAGAAACTATATTTTGAAACACCAACCTAACTGCATAAGATTAGGTTGGAGTAAAAAAAAAAAATGTTATATAAGGATTCTATGTGATTGAGAAATACTTATCAAGTTACAAAGTCAAGTTTTACACAATTGTTGTTAGACTAGCCACGCTTTGAAGTTCTGAGTTTTGGATCATTATAGCACAAAATGTTAGCAAACAGAACACAGAAAAAATAAGGATTTTGCAACGGATAAGGAACTATGTCAACAGAAGTAACTGAACAGTTCTAAAAGGTAAAAAGGAATATTATCCTCCCTTCCACCATTTTACAGAATTAAAAAGGTTTGACCAATAAATTCAGCTATTTAGACAAAATAGAAAGTTCAAAGGCACAGAGTAATCAAGTTTAAATAAATTGCCAAGCTTCTTTAGATATAAAAGGCTGCTGCTTTTATTGCCTTGCGCCGTAAATGCTTAAACGCACCATACATTTTCTTCAAAAATAGAATAAAATCACAAATACATTAGCTTTTAGGTCAAATCTGACAAGACATCATAAAAATAGTAGAGGAAATACTTTGGACCGGAAATATATGATCATTAATCATACCGGCAATCTCAAGATCTCACTTTTCCACTTTCTACTTTGCACTTGATTGACATGAGGAACGCCCTAACATTTTTTCAATTTCAAGTTCTATCATGCAGTGTTACTATGAACATTTTGATAGCAGTCTACTGTAGTCACAAAGATGGGCTTTTCATTCACAAGTGTATGCACATGCACACACACACCTCAAAAGCAGAAGTGAGGAACTGAAGACCTGTTTTATAAATCCAAAATTTATTTTATAAAAATGTAAAAGGGATAATCTGTGGCGATGAAATGGTACACGCAAAAGGCAAACAGAACTTTTTAAAGTTTATCTTGTATAGAAAACTCATCAACTCTTTATTTACTTTTAAAGCACTCATTACGCCTTCATCATAAGTTAGACAAGCCACAAAGAACTATGCCAAGTGGCATAATATCAACATCATCGTAAGACAGATAACAACTTCCAAAATTTGATCACGTCCAAATTTCATCAGAGTACTGCCACCAAGATCAAAAATGCGACAGGGCTCGCATTAAGTGTGATAATACTCTTTTGAACTGATGCATCAAGATGCTCATTAGATGTAATAAATGCAAATTGAACCATATCTCGAGTACTCTTGGAAGCCGTGCCACATAAGTAACTAACTAATTGTATTCTTGTGTAGATGGATAAATTCTGTAAATATTTACAAACTACAAACACAATCTTTTTCCTTCAAATGTAAGATCTAGACAAGAAATTATTGCTATGCGATTGACAGTACAGAGTACCAATGCTGGCAATGCAGTAATATATCTATAAACAAATATGCAAAACTGAAAGTAACCCATTTGTTCATTTAGTCCAAATGTGAGGTAAAATTTCTGTTCTATCACAAAGATGTAGCCTTATTCAGTCTTCATGAATTATGCTGTAATGATCACCTTAACTGCAACAAATAACAATATATCCTACAAAAAAAATCATAAATTTAAATCCACTTGAATTAGGCTTCATATTTGTTGCATCAATATTCAATTTCAAGTTACAAATTACAATATTTATTCAGTTTGATTTCTAGTTTTGCTAATCACAATAACTTACAAGAATATGTATCATTTCTACATAAAAATACATTAAAAGGTAGTTCATTTTTCAATTTTTTCAACAACTAAACACCATCTACCAATGTATCTCAAAGTATTTACTACTTTTTTTCTTTCTTGGCAGTCGTCCCCTTGATTTGCGTGAATTAGTATTTTCGAATCCTAAGACGTAAAACATAAACTGTTGACCTAAACTTCCCCTGGTCATATAACTTTGAGAACTTTAAGGACTCAACTTTCAAGATACTTAAAATTTAAAAACCTAAAATTAACCGCAAAACATTAGCAACAAACGACCTTAACCATTCAGATTTTTCATCCAGTATCCAAAAGTCGACTAAAAGGCTTCTTTAAAGCCCAAAATAGAAATCGTGTTTGCATACAAAAATTGTTTGGACAAAATTTTCAATTTTCCAGAGAAAAGAAAAGAAAAGGAGAAGGGACCTTCTTGAAATCGTGGAGTTTGAGATAACATGCGGCACGATTGCTGTGAAGAGCAACCCTTTGGGGCTTGGTCTTGGCCATAGAAAGCGCCTCCGTATAAAAATCCAGCGCTTCCTCGCACTTGCCTTCCCTGTACATCTGGTGCGCCCTCTCGATCTTATTCACCGTTGGTAAACCCGATGCCATCGCCAATAACAAATTAATGTTTGTATACGAATAAGACTTTTATCGAAGAACCCACAAAGAATTTCAGCTGAAAAATCAAATCGAATCTAAAAAATAGTTTTTCAAATTGATTGAGAATTTTGGGGTGGGATAAGAAATCATCGACAGCGTTGAGGTATCTGGATTCTAGGCGAAGAAACAGATGACGCGCTATAGAAATAATCGGGAGGAATTATAAGGGCTCATTCGACATGTGGAGAATGATGGCAATGTGACGTTGATGTTGGAACATTTTCGCGGAGAAAATGATGGGCTTTTTTTTTTTTAAACATATGAAGTTCGGACACGCATTTTGAGTCCCAATTCCCAAGTTATCCGTTGCTGGGCTGTCCAAGTAGAGCGAGTAACATAATTACAAATTCTTGTTGGTAACAAATTATTTCTTCGGCCACTATAGTCGTGACTATTCTGACGTGAGAATTATCGACAAAAGGGGATAGATATATCAAAATGCATGTATGAGTGTGAAATATCATACTTTTCTACCATATATAAAGATATAAATCATAACTACATAATACGTATTGACATGTGCCTTTGTCCACTCTTGAAAGTTTGGAGCTAAAAGGGGACTCATTGCCTAATGCACAGTTTGTTATAAAGGTCAAATGACAAATATTCAAATAAAATATTTAGAGCTTGTTTGGGAAATATTTTTGGGGGAAAAATTGATTTTGAATAGTGATATGATGGGAAATGTGTGGTTGAAAAAGAAGAAAAAATTATTGATGTGATGGAAATATTATTTTATTGAAAAATGTGTGGTTGAAAATGTATAATTGATTTTGAATAGTGATATGATGGGAAATGTGTGGTTGAAAAAGAAGAAAAAATTATTGATGTGATGGAAAATATTATTTTATTGAAGAATGTGTGGTTGAAAATGAGAATTGATTTACTATAGAATTTTGAGAATCTCTCAACAAGACCTTATCAATTTCCAAGCTAGCCAGTCAAGTTACTCTATGAAAAGAACATGTCTTGCATGGTGTTACACGGCAAAATCTGCAAAGCACCATGTAAGCGATAGTATAGCAGCAAAGACTATATGGGCCCCAAAAAAAATACTCCACGTGACACATTTCTCAAAGTTATTTGGAGTGTCGAACGTGGCGTAGACATTATTGTCATCCATAACAATCTTTGCACGTTAAGACAAGCTTCATTTACTGATCGTACCTTTAGCAACCAAATATTCTAAACGAAACACTTTGGGAATCGACGAGCGAAGAGCCCTCTTTCCTTAGATTAGGGTTTCGATGTACTTTAGGAAAAATGTCTTTGATAAGGTAATTACATTCTGACTTCCTTGAAAACTCAACACGTGATCCTGGAAGATCAATACCTACAAGGAAACCTAGATGCATAAGGAAATAAACTCGCTAAGACAAGAATAATATTATCTAGTACCATTGGTGTTAAAATACAGTGTTGGTGGCGCTAAGTAATATGCTCAATAAAAGATAGAATTAAGCCCTTTTTAGGTTATATTAAAATCAATTTTTTGGTAAAAATATATTTTGGAATTTTTATTTTTTGAAAAATGTGTGGTCAAAAAAGAATGAAAAATTTTGTATTAACATGTTTTAATTTGAACCAAACATAGTTTTAATACACATCAGTGCCACCTAAATTGATATTTTAGTACCATTGGTACTAATTGCGTTACTCCTAAATTGATATTTTAGTACCATTGGTACTAATTACGTTACTCTTTATGAATATCAAACCAAATTAAGATTCTATGAACCAATGGCAACGTGACACATGGAATTAGGATTGCGCCATCCTGGACCTTATTCCATATCAACTCCTTTCCTATAAAAAGCCAACGCACTAATATCAACTTTTAGAAACACGTGTAAAGAAAAAAAAGCCCTGCTACATTACAAGGCTGTGGATCACAGGGTTCTTCCAAGCTACACACATTCAGGGGGAGGTGGGTTTTTTTTGGACATTTTTTATTGCACGTGGGGCCCATCCCATTGAGAGAGAGCTTGTAAAACACTTGTGATGCAAAGTCTGGCAGAGTAGAGTTATTCAAGAAAAAAATTGTCGCTTCTGATGATTCAAGAAAATTTATAGGGGACACCTTATTATATGATGTTGGCGGGTAGAGACACCACGAGTACTTTTCTTGCTTGGCTGTTCTAGCTCCTTTAGGCTAACTCACATGCAGAAACCTAGATACTACAAGAAATCGAGACCAAATTGCACAACGAGGACAAGAAATGGAGATTTGTTGATGTAGAGGCAAGGCCGGTCCTGAGATATTCGAGGCCCTAGACGACAANAGATTTTCGAGGTCCCAGACGATAAATTATTACGAAACTCTTAAATATAATTTGCTATAAGGGTATTGATCTCTTTAGTATCATTCATGTTCTATTCAAATTGATTTTTTTTATATTATTTTTGAAAAATTAAATGAACTCTTTTAAAATAAATAACTTATTTTTAACTTTCATAAAAATTATTATTTTTAATTTTTTTAAATTATAAGCTTAATAAAAAACTATGAGAGATGTTTTAAAAAAAAAAATTAAGCTCATTAAGGATGTATGTGTTCAAGTGTTTTGGGCCTCTTATTTAGTCCATCATTTTATATAATCATATCTTTTAAAGGGAAATTAAAAAAAAATCAGGGGTTTTAAAGATAACTTTCTAAAAGTCAAGTCCAAAGTTTATCTATTCAAAAATCAGGTACTACATATTAAAACTCTAACTCTAATTTATCATTCACTCTCAACTTCCTCACCTATCTCTCTCTCTTGTGCGTCTCCTCTCACCTCTCTCTCTCCATCTCGCCTCCCCTCCTCTTCCTCTCCCCGCCATCTCTCTTTCCCATCCCCTCCTCTTCACTCTCTCATATCCCTTTCTCCACTCTCTTTGCTGTCGGTTCGATTGCAGCCATCATCGCAGCTTCGCCGCCAAGACATCACTGCTGCAGATCCGCTACGGCGACGCACAATCGGATCGGATCTTGCCGGTGTCCTGCCGCAGGAACCCGATGGCGACAAAGACGATATTGAGGTGGAAGAGGTTGAGGTTGTCGATCGTATCCATTTCACCCGAGAAGGAGAGCGAATCGCCGGCCAGGAACGCGAATCGCTGCGAGTTGAGGCGATGAAATGACTGCGCGCGATGAAGCAGAAGCGGTATGTATGCTGATTTGTGTGCTTTGTGTGTGTGGAAGCTGATTGTGTTGGTGCGATGTGGGTGGTGGAAGTGGTGGTTATAGATAGTGGAGGTGGCTAAGTTTCCTTCTGAACAACTTCTCTGTGCCGTGTGTACGTGGGTGGTGTTGGTGTGGTTGTGGGGTGACTATGTGGTGCCGATGGTTGTGCAGTGACTTGGGATAGGTTTTGTGGATGGCTTTTGCAAGTGGTAGTGGTGGTGTTTTTGAGGTGGTGTTGACGGCGGTGCTGGAGCGACTGCGGGGTTGTGCTGTGATTTGGGATGAGGTTTGTTGGATGGTTTTTGCAGGTGGTAGTGGTGGTATTGTTGAGGTGGTGGTGCGGCGACGGTGTTTGAGTTGGAGAGGGTGGTGAGATTATGTGGAGTTCAGTTGGTTTCGGTAGTGGAGTGACGACTTTCATTGGTGGTGGTGGTGGTGTGGCGTTGGTGCTGTTGTGGTGGTGCCGAGGTGAGGGTGGTTGCAAGTGGCGGTGGTATGTGACCAACTATTTGACGCATGTGACCAAAATTTTGTGACTAAAAAATATAATTTGTGACCAACTATTTTGTTATCTGTGACTAAAAATTATATAATATATGATCGTGAAAAAATTTGTGACCAACTAATTTTGAAATATGTGACTGTGTGACCTATAAATTTCGATATATGACCAATGAATTAATTGTGACCTTAAAATTCTATAATCTGTGACTAAAAATGTAATTTGTGACCAACTAATTTTGAAATTTGTGACCGTAAAAAAATTTGTGACCAATTAATTTGAAAATCTGTGACCAACTAATTTTGAAATCTATGACCAACGAATTAATGTGACCTATAAAATTTTTGAACCGTGACCGTAAATTATAAATCTGTGACCAGAATGGTCGCCGGAATAGTCGCCGGAACGATCGCCGGAGAAGAGTGGTGGTCGAAATGGTCGCCCGAATAATTCTCGGAGCAGTACGGGTGGTGCATGTAGGATGAGTATATTAGAATTAAATAATAAATAATAAATTGATTTAATAATTTATTATTTCATAAATAAAAAATAAAAAAAAACCTAATTTTTGAATTTTCAAACTATAAACCTGATTTTTGAATTAGTGTAAAGAATACACCTTATTTATGAATTTTTCCCTCTTTTAAATAGAATAAAGGACCCAACTTGAAAAAAGAAAGAATTTTTTTGTTAAATATTTAGGCTTTTAATTTTTTGAGACCCCTCAAGAATTAAGGCTCAAAGCAATAGCCTAGGTTGCCTTGGGCTAGGGCCGGCCCTATGTCTAGTCTGGGAAAATTTCATTTCCAAGAGATTTAAGTATCACATATTTCAAAAATAAGAAAACAACATTCAAATTTCAAAAATCAGATTTTTTAAAATTTTTATTTATGAAATAATAAATTATTAAATCAATTTATTATTAAATATTTAATTCTAATATAATATAATTAACCCACCCCACTGCTCCGGCGACCGTTCCGGTCACCACTCTATTCCAGAGAACTTCCCGGTGACTGTTTCGACGACTTTTCCTGTGAACTTTTCGGCAACTGTCCAGCGAACTTTTCCGGTGACTTCTCGACTATTGTTTCGGCGAACTTTCCACGACTTTCCTGGTGACTTTTTTGATTCCGACAATTATTTATTTTATTAATTAAATATAATGAGATTACAATTATATAATTAATGGTCACATATACATAATTAATTGGTCAAATATTATTTTTGAGGTCATAAATCAAAAAAAATTATAGGTCACAATTTTTTTATTGACCACAGATCAAAAATTTCATAGGTCACAGATTATTTCGAGGTCACAAATCAGGTCACATTAATTTATTGATCACGGATCAAAAAATTACATGTCATAGTTATATATCAGTCACATATTTTCAAATTTATTGGTGACAGATTAATTTTTAGTCACAATTTTAAGGCCACAGTTAGATTTTTTTTTGTGACCACCACCGATTTCTGTGACCACCCCCAGATCACCACCGACTTCTATGACCACCCTCGTAACCACCATAGTCGTTGTCGCCAGAACTAACAGCACCATCCCCGTGACCATCACCGACTTCTATGACCACCCCCGTGACCACCACCTCACCACTGCCACATGCCGTATCGTCGTCGCTGCCACCACCCCTAACATCGACACCGTCACCACCAAAAATCCGGCAACACACCGCCACCACCTCGTGATCTGAAAACTACAAATAGAAGGAAACAAAAACCAAATATCTGGCACCACACCACCACTACAAAATCGCCTCTGCCATAGCCAAACCCCCCACCACCACATCACCAAGCCCGCAATATATCACCACGCCACAGTTCACAACCCATAGCATACCACCACCATATCCTACATCTCCGTTTACACCACCGACTGCACAGCCACCACATAGCTTTCGAATCCCGTCGAGGCAGAGATCAACAATCTCTTTGCCAATCGTGTAAAGCCCTCTAGCAAAGTTGTTGGCAGTGTTATGGTGTAAAGCCCTCTAGCAAAGTTATTAGCAGCGTCGTCCTTGCCAGTGAGCAGCTGTTCCGGGTGAAATAGATGGCGGTATGTCCCAGTACGGACCTCATCTATCACAGTAGTCGACAGATCCATAAACACAGTGCGGGTAACGTGCTTTTCGGCACCGATTTCACTGAAGAATGTGTTGTTCTCCACAACGACTGTTTTGTCTCTGGGATTTCTCTTGCTTTTTTTGCTTGAAATTGAAATTAGAAAGATGTGCAGATGAATGTAGATCTGCCTTTTATTCGATCGGGAGAAGACGCCGCTGCTTGGTGATAGAGGTAAGTCGCCGGCAACTATGCATCATCAGTGGAGGTCGCCGGATAGAGAGGAGAGAATGAAGAGGACGACAGTGGGAGAAAGGTAGAGAAAGAGAGGATAGTGAGAATTAATTAGGGTTGGGAATTGTTTAGTAAATATATTTATTTTATAAAAATGTAAATTAAAAAAATCTGATTTTAGAAACATGAAACTTCTAATATGATTTTAGAATATTGGATATTTAAACTAGTGTTTTGTGTAATTTCCACAATTAGTCTACCTCCACAGGCCTACATCGAGTCTCTCTGGCCGTCCCCTCCATGGCTTTTGAACACAAGTCCACTTAAACCAGATATTATCCTTAATTTGTGCAATCGTAAGTCTTAATATTCATCATTAAGCCCTTGTTTGACAGCCCTTTTTTTGAAAGAATGAATTTTTAAATAGTAAATTTTTTGGAGAATGTGTGGTTAAAAAGTAGCAAAAAAGTTTTGAATTTACGTAAAAAATATTTTATTGTAAGAATATGTGATTGGAAATGAGTATGAGAAAAAAAGATTTTTTTAAAGAATGTTCGGACTAAGTTATTTAGTTCATGTTCACTTGGGCACAAAAGTAGCTTTGAGCTTGTGTTTTAGGCTATGGTTTCCGGATTTTTTGAAAGGAATTAGCCAAAGTCTCAAGCTTATGACAACTTTTTGTACCATCACGCGGTCGAAGTAACATAATATCAATTTTTGAGATTATCGCATATTTGAAATATTATTTCTAAATTGGACATGAAAAATATGAGCCTGAACTATCAGAACTTCTCCATAAGCAAGGTGAGGGGTATGTCAACCATGATAGGCACCTAAGTTGATGTTGTTAGAATTTGGATGTGACTCGAATTCTTTATTGAAGTAATTGAAGAATTTTAATTGAAGCGCACATCAAGAAGAATTCAGTTTGGAATGCTATTGAAATCCTATGTCAAATTGAAATTCTATTTTGGAAGTTCATTGGGAGTTGAAAATTGGTATTAGATTTGAAGAAAAGTTCAGGATAAAGAAAACAACTTGGACAAATTGGGCAGAATGCTCGGCGCCACGTCCGTTCCCATTTTTCACGTTTTTCTCTCCTTTTTCGTTTTCGACTCCTGTTTTGGCATCCTACTTCATCAACAACGCTACTAGGAAGATTTGGATGTCCTATACATATTCTATATAAATATTAGACTCTTCTATACAATTTCATAATGTGAGAATAATGTGAGAAAATATATTACTAGAACTTTGGGATCAATTGTATAATTCTCCATTATTATTGATGTAATAAAATCTCCTAATTCATCTGCCATATTTTCTCGCCTTCTTTTATTATTTTGTTTGTGATCAAATACTTCATTATTGTGCCATATAACTTCAACATCTCAATCTAGTGGTTGGTTTCATATCAAGTGATATCGAGCGATACGTGGTCCTTGAATTTTCAACAATTGGTATCAGAAATTTTGGACATAATTAACACAACAGATGTCATTTGTAATAATTAATTTCTAGGATTATAACAAAAATTGATTGATGGGTATTCATCCAGTTTTCAAACACATCTTGTGGCTGGAAAAGCAAGAATACATAAAAACTATCAAAAATTTAAGATTCAAATTAGCAAAAGCAACGTCTCCTTGCATAATATGGATTCCAAACATTCATGATCCGGATGTTAATGAGTAGAATTACTTGTCCCTGAGTGACAAAGGCTAGCTCCTACTCCTTTTCCTTCTCTTCCTTCGTCGTCGTTGGTCCTTCGTTCTAGTGTTACAAGAAGTGTGTTAGGAAGTAGTCATAGGCAGTATTATATTAGCAATTGAGTCACTCTCAACTAATTATGTAAAGAAATGGCTATTTCCTTGTCCAAACACATCCTCCTACAACCCCACAACTTGTGTAGGCTTTCTTCGCATAGACTACACAAACCAGGACATGCCCGCTTCCCCTTCATATGGGGACCTTTCTAGATTACGGGACTCTTTGGTTGGTGTTGTTCACACAAGAGGTTTTCTTCAAATTTGTATACCTGGTTTCGTAGTCAATCATTTTCTTACTTAGGTATTATATGTGCCCTTTCCTTCCGTCTGTCTTCATCATATTAAGCCTGAATGCCAAGTTTTTCTTTGCCATCAACTTGATGTCGCCATCACATACAAGAGTTGGCCAAAGACTCGACTTTACTAAACGAGCAAGAAAAGCCATTTCTATCTTATTAGTCATCATGGCTTATTGGCATGAGATTCTCCACTGAGTGGTTCATACTTACGACTTGGATTATCTATTTCATGGCTCACAAGAAATCGCTATACCACCTTTGTCTACCCAACTAGTCCTATTTGATCTAAAAAATCCAACCTAGACACTCTATCCCCTAGAAAACCCTCTATTTCCAAGCCCCTTTACTAGGTTGGTAAAGATTTGATGTCCCTACTCCCAACAAGTTGCTAATGGGTACAGAAGATTCCTGAATATTTATGGAGAAAGTGGGGAGCTGTAAAAATTCAGGGATGTTGGATGATATAGGGGATGGCGTTAAGTATTTTCCTACTTATTAATGGTTGAGAACTGGAAACAGAAGAAGCAATACTTTTTGACTTTTTAAGTTACTGATTTTGGTAAAAGTACTTCAAAAAGTCTGTGTTTATACTAAGAAACTTGAAAAAAAGCAACCTTTTTTAGAAGTCCTGCAATCTTTTGGATTCTTCATTTCAGCTTTGATTCAAGCAACCTCAGCTTATACAAATTTAGTTTTGCATTTCAAAAATTTCGAAATGTAGGCCTTGTCTGGTAAAGATTGTAATCACAATTTCTACCGTTGGAGCCGCAAATATGGACCTTGTTGTGAGATGTGGGCCCCGCAAATTTGACAAAAAAGGTACAAAAATTGATTAAAAGCTTATTATAATTTATACCAGAAAGGCACTTAGAACGTAACATAAGTCTTACATTCGCAATATATTAAAATTTCCAAATTTATCTCCATTGGTAGATTAGTTAAAATAAATCACAATTGTACACAAGTAGATTTCCGAGTAACATTGTCACAATATACAAAATTAGTCTTGGATTGAGGTGAAACAAAGTCCCATGGATAGATAAATCGAAGAGATATCCAACTCAACTAGTCTCAGCCTCTAGTCAAAGTATACAATTACCAATGTAGTTTTAAAACACGGGTCAGAATGTTGGGTTTAAAAAGTGCAAGGATAAAAGAGAGGGATAAATATATAAAATACACTCGGTGGGGATACTTGTAACCTACCACCACTGATCTGGGCATGAAATTATATAAAGAAATCAATTACCACATTAAACTGAGAATCACCACTCCATGAAGATTGTAATTCATGCAAGCGTTGCAAACTGAACCATAAGGTTTAAACTGAACTCGAAGGTTTAAATGAACCGATAGATGGCTCTTCCGAAGGAGTTGGCTGTAGATATGAAGATGTTTTAAAGGAGTCCAAGATAAGATCCCAATTCCCTTTTTAGCAGCTGTTGACTCTTATTTCATCCCAAATATTTCATTATTTGTTTTACAATTGTAATATGACTTTACCTTGTTTTAGACTCTTGTTTGTAATAATTTTCTTAGTATGGTAGGGATTCTTGTATTATAATATGTGGTGTATTACACATATTTATTTGATCAACTCAGAGAGTGATCCAAGTGATCTATAGAAAGGCTCGCATGATAGAGAGATCGGGTTTAGAGTCTTGGGGATGCAGATTCGCATAACATTCTTGTAACTCCTTACTATTGATTATAGTGAATTCTCCGTCCCTGCTCGTGGTTTTCCCAGATTTAGGTTTTCACGTTAAATCTTGTGTTCTTATATGATTCTTTTCATCTTATCATATTTTCTTAGCTTTAATATTCATAACAAGTGGTATAAGTTATATCACCGTGTTATTGCAAATTGGCTTTGTTTTATAACAAAAGCGATGGAAAATTAACTTTGAAGACCACACCGTTCAACAAGAAAAACCAAGATTTTGACTTGTTAACAAGTTACATGAAAGCAGTTGGAGAAAAGAGTGATGCACCCGAACACATATCTGAAAATGTATTGAAAGACACCATGCTGAATTTAATCTTTGCTGGTAAAGACACCAAAAGTGCAACTCTTACATTATTTTTTTGGCTTCTAGCAACAAATCCAATTGAAGAAAACAAGATTCACGATGAAATGATGACGAATTTACAAGTCGATGAAAAAAGAAAATGAAAATATTCCAACCCAGAAGAGCTTAAAAAACTGGTTTATCTACACGGTGCACTGTGTGAAGCATTACGCCTGTTTCCACCAGTGCCTTTGCAGCACAAAGCTCCAAGAATGCAAAATATTCTTCCAAGTGGACACAAGATCAACTCGAATAAAAAAAACTGTTTTATCATTCTATTCAATGGGAAAAATGAAATCCATATGGGGGGGAGATTGCCTAGAGTTTAAGCCAGAAAGATGGATTTCCAAACAAGGACAAATACAACACGAACCATCTTTCAAGTTTACATCATTTAATGCAGGGCCAAGGAGCTGTTTAGGGAAGGAGATGTCATTCATTCAAATGAAAATAGTTGCAGCCTCCATTACAAAGCCCGAGCCTGGAGACACGTTATACTTATACCTGGCCGTATCTCAAAATGTAGTGAGCAGGGTACTAGTGAAAGAGGTGAAGAAGGCTCAACAACCCATCTACTATGTGAGTACGGTATTGTTGGACACAGAGAAAAGGTACACGCCGATAGAACAACTTGCCCTGGCACTGGTTATGGCAGCTTAGAAGCTACGATAATATTTCCAATCACAACCCATTGTAGTGCTTATGAACCAGCCACTTAGACAGATACTTGAAAAGTCGGACGTTTCAGGAAGATTATTGAAGTGGGCAGTTGAACTTGGAGAATTTGATATAGAGTTCAAACCCCGACCTTCTATCAAAGGACAAGTCTTAGCGGACTTCATCGCAGAGCTCACCCCAAGGCCTCGAGGGCCAGGGGACATCCCTACCACCACGGGGGATATTTGGGAAATATTTGTTGATGGAGCATCTAACTCCTCGGACTCGAGTGCAGGATCATTATCATCAGTCTGGACAAACTAACCGTAATTCAATGTACACTCAGATTCGAATTTGAAGCTACCAATAATGAAGCTGAATATGAGAATGTGGTCATTGCTCTTGAACTTGCTAACAGCTTGGGAATTGAACATGCCAAGCTCTTTAGCGATTCGCAGCTTGTGGTAGGGCAGATTGAAAGAGCATTCGAGAGGAATGCCGAAAAGAT